TTTACCATTATTTAGCTTTATTCATAACCATTAACTTAACTCTGCAATCCAGGTACATTTGGAGGGGAGCAAGGAAAACATGGAACCCAAAGAACTGCAAGAAGAGCAGAGATGATGGGGCGTCTTGAGCAGGGAGGGTGTAGGGTGCTCTCCTGAGCTAGAGGAATGGTCTGGTCTGGCGGTGGCAACACACACAAGTCACATGCGTTAGAGCTGCCCACAGTCGGTGATGGTGATCATCTGCTGGTCTTGCCGTTCCTGGACCCGAAGCGCTCCATGGCCTCCACCGTGTCATGCCCTCTTTCACCTTCCCGAAGACCACGTGCTTGCCATCCAGCCACTCAGTCTTGGCAGTGCAGATGAAAAACTGGGATCCGTTTGTGTTTGTCCCAGCATTTGCCATGGACAAGATGCCTGGGCCTGTGTGCTTCAGGATGAAGTTCTCATCATCGAATTTCTCCCCATAGATGGACTTGCCGCCAGTGCCATTGTGGCGTGTGAAGTCACCACCCTGGCACATAAATCCCGGAATAATTCTGTGAAAGCAGGAACCCTTATAACCAAATCCTTTCTCTCCAGTGCTCAGAGCACGAAAGTTTTCTGCTGTCTTTGGAACTTTGTCTGCAAACAGCTCGAAAGAGACGCGGCCCAAGGGCTCACCGTCGGCAGCAATATCGAAGAACACAGCGGGGTTGACCATGGTTGGCAACAAACGACTAAGAGGAAGGATAGAGGCGTCTGCAAAGCCCATCTTTTCTATTGTACTTTTCCTTTTCAGCAGTCAAGCACTCCCCTGCTGTATCTTTGCCATCCATAGTTTTACTAGACCTTTCTTTCTGACCAAACTCACAATGGTGTAAGTCATCCTGCTGGACTTTTTGCTCTTGATTTCAACATAAATCTAACTAAAAGCCCTCCACAGTAGCCATTTCTCTGCCTCAACATTAGACTACCTTGGGGCTAGGGAGATAGCTCAGTAGAATAAGTGCTTGCCTGGCAAGCGCAGGGTCCTGACTTCAATCCCAGGTACCGAAAACAAACAAACAAACAAACAAACAAAAAACTAGCCTACCTTGAAATTTCTTCTGCCGGATTAGTCTACCACTATTAATTTTAGTCTCTCAGACAGTCTTTGGTTATGACCAAAATGCAGACAGGCTTTCTGCCAAGCCATACACACATTGTCTGGAGTCCAACAACCAGTGCAATCTTTCCCTGAAGAAACCTCCAGACCTGGTCTTTACTGGCAGGATTTCTCAGCCTCTGGCCTTCTGAGCTCTGACCAGAATTTCCCATACAGTACAGCCTAAAGTGTGCCAGCTCTTTTTCAGCTAGCATTCTTTGAACCTTTCCAAACTCTTCCTTTTAGTTACAAAGGTTCTTGAACCACAGGGCCAGGAATTATCACCACAAAACTCCATTTCTGATACACAAATTCTGTCTTTTCTCATAGCTGAGACAAAATACCTGAGACTCATGATTAAAGGATGAAAGGTTTATTTAGCTCCCAGCTTGTAGATGTTTTAGTCCATATTCAGCTGGTTCCAAGGTACATTGGCTTGGCAACGGATAATAGTTAATGGTGGGCACAAAGTAGCAAATCAACAAGGCAGGGGAGACAAGACTCTTTTCTGTCTCATATATTGTATCTAGACTGCTGGGATTAGGAGGTGCCAAACCAATCAGTGGGTTGATTTAGCACATACCCTTAATCCCAGAATCACACCCACTGGATTCAGCCACCTCCAGAAAAGTCTTAAGACTGCATGAGCCTTTGGGGAGACATCTGGACATGAACCATAACTGCATAGTTCAGGCCTGCCTTGGACTATGTTACCCAGGCTGGCATCAGCTTCCTGAATGCTGGACTTACAGATGTGTGCCACCATGCCTGGCTCTATTTGGATTTTATTTGTTTTTGTCTTTTTGAGACAGGGTCTCTCTGTGAAGTTCAGACTGACCTTGTGCTCACTTTGTAGGCCAGGCTGGTCTTGAACTTGCAACAATCCTCCTGCCTCAGCCTCCTGAGTGCTGGGATTAGAGGCATGTGCCACCACACCAGGTTTGAATTATTTTGTTAAACTTATTTTTTTAGACAGGGTCTTACTTAAAGTTCAGGCTGGCTTTGACTTCAAAGTGATCACTCTGCATCAGCCTCCTGAGTGCTGCATGATAGTCATACACCATCACTCACTCCTAGCCTTTGTACTTTAGATTTGCAGAAAATTGCAATACTACAGAGCTCCCATATGCCTCTTGTTGCCTAACATCATCTCATTCCGTAACATCTTAGTGTTGTCATTTGTCACAACTGGTAGACTGATACTGATATGTTATTAATTAAATCCATACATTAGATCCCCCCCTTCTTTTTTCCTTGGAGGATTCCTTCCAGAGTATGACATTACCGTTCTGTCATCATATCTCTTTAGGGGCATTTTGGCTGGGACAGTTTCTCAGACTTAGTTTTTTGTAACCTTAACAGTTTTGAGGAATACTGATGTTGTATTTTGCAGAATGTCCTTCTATTGGGATTTGTGTGATTACAGTTGTGCGCCATCACTCCTAACCTTTGTAGTTTAGATTTGCAGAAAATTGTGATACTACAGCGTTCTCATATGCCTCTTGTAATTTTTCTGGGGCTGTGGGTTTCATCTGTCATATGAAGGTTATATACCCTATATGTTCATAGTGTGGATGTTATTGCCTTACTGAGGTAATTTGTCAGGTTACACATTTTGCCATTTCATGCTGTGAATGCAGACTTATGGGATTAGTCTGGAGCATGCATTGAAGTCACTGTCCATCATACATTGAAAACAGTGACTACAAAAAGTAATTTAGGAACTAGAAACGAGAGGAATTTTAAATTTGTGTTTCGTATGTGGCTATTAGTCTGCAAACAGAATGTGTCATTAAAATCTACTTTTTCTCTTGAAATGCAGTGAGATAGTGAGGTTAAGCTTGATAGCCTAAATCGCTTGATAATAACAATAAGCTTGTCTTCTGGATGGTTAACAACCTAAGTTTGCAGACCAAAATTAGAGAAAAAGGAGGGTTACAAGGAAAGCCAAAATTTTGGCCCTAACCTTCTAAGGTCAATTAAGACCCAGGACATATGAGAACCTGTACTGTAACGTCATGTACCTCGGTAGTGTCCCAAATTTTCTGATCAAGAAGATTATGGGGCCAAAGAGGAAAGTGATCGATGTCGTAGAGTGTGCCTAAGGAGAGTCACATGGGGAGAAGACACTCTCTCAGGCTTTCACAGAGAGCACATTGGCCAAGCAATAGCCGTGACTCATCCACATGGCTGACACTGACAAAGGTTCTACAATCTGAGGTACAGGATCTCAGGATAAATCCTGAGGGCATTTCACTGACCTTCTCAGACCAAAAAGCTACAACTCTTGTTGCACAGGTCCTGCTTTATCTTGGTCTTAACCATCCAGCAGAAAAGTATGAAGACGAAATATAGGAAGTAAAGCCACGTTATTATGTTGAACTGTGGGGGACTCAGGTCAATAATTTCTGACATTGCCAGTTAAACAGAAGACCCAATGCTATTATGGGCTACTGGACTCTTTTAGAATATTTTGCTGAGTTTACACACCTATAATATTCAATAACGGAACTTAGAACAAATGGGGTATACCGATGAATGTCCATTTTGTATCTGTGTATTCAAAGTGGTTAGGATAGATATATAGTTGCATTCTCTTAATGAATAGAATGATTTGTTCTATGGTGTTTGTAAATAGGATCTCAAGTCCGCATCTTGTACAGCAATTAACCACTAAGAAGAATATATGCAGTGTATTATTTGTTGAAACTGTACTTCTGATTTGATTTGAAACTGTCTCATTGCTATCTGTTTATCAATAAAATTTTGAAAAAAAAATCTACTTTTTCTCGATTTCCGAAGAAACAATAACAACAACAACAAAAAAATCCCTAAACATTTCCTGAACCCTTGCCTTATAATCTGCTTAGAAAGTAGTAAACTTATTTAATAACCGAAGGAATTGAGGTCTTCCAGAAAATGAACTATTTAAGGCAGCTGGGCAGCCTATGACTCAGCATTATGATGGGGAAATTCATCCAACCTTTCTGGCAGTTATGTCCCCTCATTTCGTTAAAAAAAAAAAAAATCTAATCTCCCTTGTAGTTTTTGAATCCCTCCAGTGCAACTGTACATCTTTTACCGATTATCTTTTTTGTTTCTTTTTTAGTACTGGAAATTGGACTCAGGACCTTGTGCACGGCAGGCAGGCACTTGTGCCGCTGAGCTACTAATCAGCTCCAAGACTATCTTCTTTAAAAAAAAAAAATATATATATATATATACACACACACACACACACACACATATAATACAGGGTCTCACTACACAGATCAGGCTCGTGGTGATCCTGTCTTCAGCCTCCCAAGCGATGGAATGACAGGCGCGCACCACCACGCCCAGTGTCACCGTCTCAGCGTGCACCCGGGGCGGGGCCGGGGATCGAACCCCGTAGACTGCAGAGCTATCTGGCCGGCCCAGGACTTACCTTTCTGACAAGCTCTCAATTCTAACAAAGGCAAAGGCAGGCAAGGCAAAGCTCCTGAGCCTCCTTGGAGTGCGTCGTCTGCAGCGCGGCTCTGGGTCTGCGCAGCAGAGCTGCCGCCGCGGGGGCGCCCTAGCTCCTCACCCGTGCTCGGTGAGCCAGAGGACCCCGGGGTCAGAGGCCTGGTTCCCCCTTTGGTGCTTGGGAGCGGCGCTGGCTGGTCCTACAGAACCTTTCTTCCGCTGGAACCCGCAGTGCCCCGTGATAGCTGTCACCCCTGTCAGCCCCTTTTCACTATGCAATTTCTAGCGCAGTGTAAAACCTCAGGCTGGGCGCAAGCCGGAGCACTAGCTCCAAGCTCTGGGTGTACCGGGCATCCATACGAGATACTTCTCGCGGGAATCCCAGCACCTCTCGCGATACTTCCCCCGGTTGCCCTGCGGGCCTCCTCGCCCCACCCTAGCTGGCTCTCGGCGCTCCCGGCTACCTCGCCGGTCGGCTCACCGCCCTGCCCGCTGGGGGCGCTGAGAGCCGGGCCCCGCCGGGGACGAGCCGGGCGGTCCTCGGCCGGCGCAGGAGCGCGCGCGGGCGGCGGGGCTACCAGGTGAGCCCGCGTCCGCGCGTAGGGTCGGGAGGGCGCGCCGAGCGAGAGGCGGCCCGGGCCTGCGGCGACACGCTCTCAGGTGCAGGGAAGCTGGTGGAGTCTCCGGGCGGCCGTCCGCTCCCGCCGCGGCGGGCTGGCCTGCGAGGTGCCGCGGGCAGGACCGGGCTCGTCGGGAGGCGCTCAGAGCGTGGCGCCCGCTCCCGGGCTGCCTTTCGGCTCCTGTCCCTGGGAGCGCCGGGCGGTGCGGAGCCGGCCGTGGGCTCTGCAGCTGCGGGGCGGTGCGCGAGGGCGCGGGGCCTCTTCCGGCGGGCTTAGTGCGCGTGGCACAGCCTCTAGTCAGGCGGGCTTCGAGGGTCAGTCAGAATGGTTGGTTCCTAGCCGCATAGTGATTTTCCGTGTTTTAAGATTCCAGTGGTCAAATAAATGTTTGACGATAAAGGACTATGTAGACCGTAAAACCTAGATGTCGTTAGGACTTGGTTGGGGTCAATTTTCTGCCTTTGGCAGAAAGTTCAGGTTGGAAATGGGAGTAGAGTTTTTTTGTTGCAATCCATTGAGTTGTTTTGAGGTACTAGGGGCTTAACCCAGTATCTTTACACTGATATATCCCTAACCCTTCAAAATATTGTTTGTGTGTGGGTGTGTGGGGTGTGTGGGTGTGTGTGTGTTTTAAGATTTTGAGACAGGGTTTCCCAAAGTCGCTCAATTGTCCAGGCTGGCCTCCAGTTCAGTATACTCCTGCCTCACCTTCCAGAATGCTGAGATTACAGATGTTTATCAGCATATCTGACTCGAAGGCAGTTTTGAGACAGTGTTTCTTGAGATTGTGAGTTTAAAACTTATATGAGCAAACCATGCAGTTTTCTGAGAGAATCATTAGCTCAGTGCAAATGTTGAGCAAAGGAAAGTTTTTTTTAAAGACCTTCACAAGTAATTTGTTATTTTTATTTTAAATTATGTAGCCTCCTTGGATTTCATTTTTGCAGAAATGTACTCTTTATTTAAACTAACAGTTTTTGTGTGCATAAACATATGAGCAGTTGCGCTGGTAAAAGGAAAATCTTTTTCCTGATAGTTATGTCTTGTCTTTTAGAGAGAGCAATGTCATCAGTGGAATCACACCAGGAGCAGCTGTCTCAATCCGATCCATCCCCCTCACCAAACTCATGTAGTTCCTTTGAGCTAATAGATATGGATGCTGGCAGTTTGTATGAACCAGTTTCTCCACATTGGTTTTATTGTAAGATAATAGATTCTAAGGAGACATGGATTCCATTCAACTCTGAGGATTCACAGCAGCTGGAAGAGGCATATGACTCTGGTAGGATGAAGATGAATTGTAATAAACTTTCCTCTCAAACTGCAATGCCTCGCCCTTGCACGCCCTGCCCCACTTTTTGGGTACTAAGAATTCAAGTCAGAGCCTATGAACTGAACTTAGAGCTTTGGTGCTGAGCTACATTCCTGGGACCCACCCTTTTTAAGATCGTGTCTCCTAAATTGAAAATTGCCTAGGCTTAATTTAAATTTGTGATCCTCCTGTTTTCGTCTCCCAGAATGCTGGGATTACAGGCCTGCATCACCATGTTTGGGTTTGGAATAGCCCTGACAGTGAGTGCTGTTGAGATAAGTTTTAGATTTTACCTGTTAAGTGATACTTAAAATATAACTCACAGTCATATTTCGAGAGATTTATTGTGTGATCTGTACTTCTTTTTTTTTTTTTTTTTTTTTTGTCTTTTTGAGACAGGGTCTCCTATGCAGTTCAAGCTGGCCTTGAGCTACTTTTGTAGCCCAGGCGATTACAGGAGTGTGGCACCATGCCCAGCTTGTACTTGTTTTTCTCTTGCCAATTCTTGACAGGAAAGGATTGTAATGGAACAGTGGTCCCCACCGATGGAGGCAGGTATGATGTTCACCTGGGGGAAAGGATGCGGTATGCTGTGTACTGGGATGAACAAGCTTCTGAAGTGAGACGCTGTACCTGGTTCTACAAGGGAGATAAAGACAATAAATATGTTCCCTACTCAGAGAGCTTCAGCCAAGTTTTAGAGGTATTGCTTTGATCCCCCTTTACTCTTTTTTTATCTTTTTTTTCTTTTCTCCTTTAATAATCTTTTGTGACTTATTTTGTGACATTTGCAGAAAAAGTTTGATTCTATCTACATGATACTCTATCGCATCTTTTTGCAAATTAGTTTCAGTATATAAGTAGTTTTAATTTCAGATTTTAAAATATTATAGAAGCCAGGCATAGTGGCACATGCCTATAATCTCAGCTCTTGGGAGGCTGAGGCAGGAGGATCGCTGTGAGTTCAAGGCCAGCCTAAACTGCATAGTGAGACTCTGCCTCAAACAAACCAAAAATCCAATTAAAATATTATGGACACTGTAAAAATTTTCCCTGATGGAAATCAGTACAGGGGTGCCTTGGTGTATAAACTTATTTTTTCCTATGATTTTGGAAAAGATGACCCCATTTGTATTTGTACAGGAAAGATGGTTGAGGTTGTGTTTGTCATTTGATGCAGAGTTTGCAAACAGAAATATTCGTGGACTGAGGCACCACTGTATTAGCACTTAAGCCACAGGACTCACCTTTTTGATACTTCTTTTTGTTAAATTGGAGAACATTAACATTACTGACATGAAAAGATGAATAGCAGTTATCTGGTCTTTATGATAGAACTAGAAGTGATATTTTTCTTTGTCCTGTGCTGTTATCTGTTATAATTTTAAAAGAATTTGAAAATAAATTTAATAAACTGGAGAATTATATTGTTATTGAAACTAATCTGGTAATGTTCTTGCTATAAGTTCAGTTTAGTGGAAAAACTACTAGAAAAGTCTAATGAAATGTGTTTTTGTGTAAGGAAACTTACATGCTTGCTGTAACTCTGGATGAGTGGAAAAAGAAACTGGAGTCTCCCAATAGAGAAATTATTATATTACACAATCCAAAGGTAAGTGAAGTAGTGCATTTCTCTGATACTGGGGTGAAGGTTAATTGCATTACTGAGAACTTTGGCTCCTTTTCCCTATGGACTTTTTATAAAATAAACTTAGGCAATTTTATGTTGCATTCACCTCTATAAAATTTAAAACTTGTACCACTGCCATTATTTAGTGCCCTCAGTTCATAGAAAAGAATATTAGGAAAAATTATGCCATCAGAGAATTAAGAAAATAAGGGCTGGCCAGATAGCTCAGCGGATTAAATTGCCTGCTTACGTGGGACATAGGGACTGGGGTTTAATCCCCAGCATGCTACGTGCCAGCCCCGCCCCCAGGACACACTGAGACTGTGATTGAGACGCAGGCCAGTAATCCCAACACTCAGGAGGCTGAAAACAGGAGAATCACTATGAATCTGATCTGTGTAGTGAGACCCTGTAGACCCTGTATTAAATATATTAAAAAAAAAAAAAAATCAGTACATTATATGAGCACATCTTTTTTTTTTTTTTTTTTTTTTTTGGAACCGGGGATTGAATTCAGATACTTGAGCTTGCCAGGGAAGTGCTTATTCTACTGAGCCATCTCCCTGGCCCCATGAGCACATCTTTCATATGTAGGATATATTTAAATGACCTATCAGTCCACTATATTTTCAAGGTCTTCATTATAAGCTCTAAGAATTATATGTATTGGAAGCTATGTATTAGAAGATCTTTCTATCCTTTAAAATATGTTATTTAGAAACTGGGGCCAGGGAGATGGCTCAGTGGAATAAGCGCTTCCCTGGCAAGCGAAAGGGCCTGAGTTCAATCCCCGGTTCTGCAAAAAAAAAAAAAGAAAGAAAGAAACCAGGTGTGTTGGCACATACCTGTGATCCTAGTACTTTGGAGGCTGAGGGAGGAGGTTCACTGTGAATCTGGGGTCACCATGGTTTACATAGTGCATCCAAAACCAGCCTGAATTGCATAGTGGCACTATCTCCGAAAAAAATAATTTTTTCATGTGCATAACATCAACTATTGATCTGATCTTTTTCTCTTTAAGCTAATGGTGCATTACCAGCCAATTGCAGGGTCTGATGAATGGGGTTCAACACCCACTGAGCAAGGCCGGCCAAGAACAGTGAAGAGGGGTGTCGAGAACATCTCTGTTGTCATCCATTCTGGTAAAGTTCATCATTTATTTCTTCTTCTCCTCCTCCTTTTTTTTCATTACTGGAGATTGAACTCAGGACTTTGCTCTTGCCAGGCAGGTACTTATGCCATTGCGCTATATCCCCAGCCCCTCATCATTCATTTCTTATATACTTGTTTATTCCTTAAATTGTGATCCTTTTTGTGTGTTTGGATTGCCTCAAGGCTTACAAATGTTATTTAATTGGTCTTATTCTTCTTTGTTTTATTTTTGGTACTAGGGATCAAACTCAGGACCTTGCGCTTGCCAGGCAGGCACTTATGCTGCTGAGCTAGATCCCTGGCCCTTATTCTGAATTAAGATTAGCATCACTTCCTCTAAGAATTTTAATAGGTATAAATGTTTATTTAAAGTGGCTAGTTCATAAGGTGCTGCTTATGGTGAGATGGGTAAAACTTGGTAATACTGGTCTAGTAGTTGCTAAGTACAGATGAACTGAGTTAGTCCTGATTTTAAGAAATTGAGTCTACCTGCTTTAGTAGACATTTATTGCTGGTAATTCCTGTCCTTGAAGCATTATTTTTTAGAAGGAACTTGATTATTCATTCCCACCTAATTGAGGTCACTTATGATTACTTAAATATTTTTAACTGGATTATGAAGTTCCTTTTATCTCACAGAAGAGATAATTTATCTCTTAGATAAACTCTTAGATTTACTATAATTAAAAACTTAACATTTTGGCTCTAGTCTTTCAAGGTCAGTGAAGACTCAGGACATAGGAGAACTTGTACTGTAACATCATGTAACTCAGTTGTGCCCCAGATTTTCTGATCAAGGAGATTATGAAGCCACAGAGGAATGTGATCGATGATGTATAGTGTGCCTAAGGAGAGTCACTTGGAGAAAAAACATTCTCTCAGGCTTTCACAGAGAGCAAATTGGTCACGCAATGGCCGTAACTCATCCCCATGGCTGATACTGACAAAGGATCTACAAAGTGAAGTACAGGGCTACAGGATAAATCCTGAGAGTACTTGACTGACCTTATCAGATACAAAAGTTACATTTCTTGTTGTATAGGTCTTGCTTTATCTTGGTCTTAACCATCTAGTAGAAAAGTATAAAAACGAGGTATATAAAGTAAAGCCATATTAATGTGATGAGCTATAAAAGGCTCAAGTCAGTAACTTCTGAGGATAATCCACTACTATTATAGACTGCTGGACAGTGTTGGATTGTTTTGCTGAATTCAAACACCTATAGTATTTAGATGCCAATAGAATACCCACCTCTGACAGGACCAAACAAAAAAAAAGGGGATACAAAGGAAAGAACATTTTGTATTTGTATATACAAAATAGTTAGGATAGATATACAGCTACTTTCGCTTAATTCAATGAGAAGAAAGATGTGTACTAATAGTGTTTGGACAGGATATCCTATCTGCTGCTTTTACTATGGATAACCACTAAGAAGATAACAATGTACAGTGCATTGATTATTGAAACTCCTATAATCAGCTTTGAAACTGTTTCATTCATATTTGTTTCTCAATAAAATAAAAAAAGATAAACAACAAGAAAAAAAATCAGTCAATAAAAAAAAAACAACAAAAAACAAAAAAACTTGAAGGGCCAGTAAGGTAGCCCATGCCTGTAATCCCAGCACTGGGGAGGCTCAGGCAGGAGGATTGGTGAACAAAGTGAGTTCAAGACCAGCCTGAACTTTGTAGTGGAACCCTGTCTCAAAAAGATAAATAGATAGATAGATAGATAGATAGATAGATAGATCTAAAATGTAAGGCTTGGGGCTGGAGAGATGGCTCAGTGGTCTAAAGCACCTACTTAGAACAAGCTTGGCAAAGCACAGGGACCGCGGTTCGATCCCCCAGCACCATATGCCAGCCAGCTCCGCCCCCCGGTGGGCTGGGCTGAGCTGGCCACACACAAAAATAAATAAATAAATAAAAAATAAAGAATAAAAAAAAATAAAATGTAAGGCTTTGAAAACATTCTAAATATTGGAATTGATTACAGTGATTATATAAGAGGCTATCTTTAGGAAATACACATATTTTTAATGATTAAAGAAGTTTGGGCTGTGTGAAACCAGATCATACTCATACATACAGCCTTCTCCCAAATGGCTTAGAAAAATAAATGTGTGTGTGTGTGTGTGTGTGTGTGACCAGCGAGATAGCTCACCAGACTAAGTACTTGCTTAGGCAAGCACAGGGACTGGGATCCTCTCCCAGTACCACATGTCGTGTCCACCCTCCCCTCAGGGTGGGCTGAGTAGTCTGGGCTTAGTGGGTATGCCTATAATCCCAGCACTGGGGAGGCTGAAAGCAGGTGGGTCACCACAAGTCTGAGCTGCATAGTGAGAGCGTGCAACAACCAGATACATTGAAAAAAAAAAAAGTGTGTCCACAGAAATAATAAAGTGTGGCAGTTGTTAGAAAGCTGAATTTCTAAAATGTACTTGGGAATTTCTATAGTATGTCTTCTAGTTTTCTATAAGTTTCAGTTATTTCAGAATAAGAAGTGAAAATTTTATAACTTATTTCTAGTTAAATTAAAAATGAAGTAGAGGGGCTGGTGAGATGGCTCAGTGGTCTAAAGCACCTACTTAGAACAAGCTTAGCAAAGCACAGGGACCGTGGTTCAATCCCCCAGCACCACATGCCAGCCAGCCCCGCCCCCTGGTGGGCTGAGCTGGCCACACACACACACACACACACACACACACACACACACAAATAAATAAAAATTAAAAAAAAAATGAAGTAGAATATACTTTTACCAACTAGATAAATATAAGGCCATTTTGTGTCTTTTAAGTAATCCACTTTTAGTTTCACTTGCTCGTATTTATAACCTGTTCACTATCAATGACTGAGTTTAGAATACATGATTAATCATGGGGAATAATTTTTCTTTCTCCTTTTATTTGTAGGAGAACCATTACAGATCGATCACTTGGTCTTTGTAGTCCACGGGATTGGGCCAGCCTGTGATCTCCGCTTCCGAAGCATCGTGCAGTGTGGTAGGTCTGCAGAGCATGTAGGTTAGATTGCTCAGGGAGTGTGTTAGTCACTGGGATTAAGCATCATCTTTAGCTCATCATCTTAGCTGTGTAATAAGATTTGGAGAGCGGAAGAGGTGACAAGGTGGTAAAGCTTCCCAGCCTAATCTAAAGTACTAGCAAATTCTTGAGGCTAATAGTTTATATTCTTAACCTGTAATTCTTCAGTAAGCCCCATAGTCCCTATAAAATTGTTTTGTGATGTAGTGGTCTTATTTCTAACTTCTAAAAATTAAAAAGGACCCTGAAAATGATAGAGTGAATAACAAAAAGTACAATCACTTTTTGTAATTCATATTGTGGTACGCCTCTTGATACTATTATTATTGAGGCATTCAGATTTGACTTGGGTTCTTGTGCAGGTACTGTAGCACTGCGTTATGTCCCCAGACCATTTTATTTTGAGACAGGGTCTCCCTAACCTGCCCAGGCTGGCCTCAAATCTGTCTTTCTCCTGCCTTATCCTCCCGAGTAGATGGGATTACAATCCTTACAGGTCTCTTTATATTACAACAGGAAGATTTAATTCATTTGTATCACTTGACTTAAAAGGCATTGTCTTTAAAACTTGATAGTATGCAAAGTCTGTTCCCAGTAGGAGTCATATTTTACTGGATGTATTAGTTCCTTTTCTTGTTGCCAAGACATATTCCCAACATCCAAAGTTAAAGAGGAGGGCCGGGATTTAGCTCGGTAGAATAAACGCTTCCCTGGCAAGCACAAGGACCTGAGTTCAATCTCCGGTTCCGCAAAAAAAATAAAAGACCAAACCTCTGAAAAACATTACTCAAAGTTAAAGGGGAAGGGTGTGTTTAGCTTACAGTTTGCAGAGGTTTCAGTTCATAGTTGGTTCTCTCCAAGGCAGGGTGGCTTAGCAGAGGGGATTACAGAGGAGAAGCAGTCCATGGCAGGCAGAAGTCAGCAAAAGCAAGCAGTTGACAATAGCAGCTTCTTTCTGCCCCTTCTGGCCCTCTTCAGGCTACCAGGATTAGAGTGTGCTAAACTGATCAGTGGACTGATTGAGTGATCACACACCCTTAATCCTGGCATCACACACTAGATCCAGCCATTTCTGAAATAGCCCACCTGTGGCTTCATGAGACTTTGTGGGGACCAGCTAGACACAGCTGTAACATTAATGGCTCCAAGCATAAAACTGGAATTTTATTCTGGAAGGTTAACATCAGTGTGATAAGAGTTTTGAGGGCAACCCACTCAGGTCCCCTTCTGTATCTCTCTGAGACAGAACCTTTGTTTCCCTCAATAAATACAGTCTCTTAATTTTTTTTTTTTTGAATAGCAATGTATAGTTTTTAAAAATCTGAAGTACTGAATAATGATTAATTATAAAAACCAGTAAATTAGAATAGAAATCTGTTTTGTTACTCTTCTTTCGTTTCTGGGACAAATACCCAACACTCAAAATGAGGGAAGGAAAGGTTTATTTACCTCACAGTTACTGGAAGTTTCATAGTTTCATAGTTTGAAGCAGCCTGAATAACATAGCAAGACCTCTAGACACTGCTCTCCTGCGCTACAGGGTCTGGAAGAGAGGCTGGGGCCCCGCTGTGCCCAGGAAGTCCCACTCCATACCTCCAAGAGAGGCCCCCAGGCCTGGGGGAGGAGGTGCATGCTGTCAGTTTAAGGGTTTGCACCTCTCTGGCCCCGCCCCTCAAGCCCTGCCCTGGTCCCCTGGCCCCACCCTCGAGCCACAAGCTGCTCCAGCCATGATTTACATGAGGCTTTGGGGGGACAACTAGATACAAATCATAACAAAATCCCATTGCAATATTGATACACATATAGTCATCTAATTTTAGTATATTGAAACAGCTTCATTGACAAAAGTTTTTAAGTTAACTTTTCTCTTGATGAAATGCTTTGTGTGGTAAAAGTAAAGGAGCATCTTTTACTTTATGGACTCTTAGTCTTTCCTGAACACTGCTTTACTATTTTTGAGTCAAGTCATTATATATTCTGAGCAACTGTAGTTAGGCAGTGTGTCATTACATGATTTGTTGCATGCTAATTTCGTGTGTTAATTGCTTCATTGGTGATGCATAAGTTAATATTTATTTTGCAGTTAATGACTTTCGCAGTGTTTCCTTGAACTTACTACAGACACATTTTAAGAAAGCTCAAGAAAACCAGCAGATTGGAAGAGTAGAATTTCTTCCAGTCAACTGGCACAGTCCTCTGCATTCGACTGGTGTGGATATGTGAGTAATACCTTACACTCTTGAGTTGTTAGCTATAGTTCTTTTCTGCTGATCAGTGTGCTTGAGGACATTTCTGCTATAGCTGACTGTATACTTAAAATTTCTTACAGATACATTATTAAATGCTAGTCAGTCCCTAGTAAAAAACTTTGTGTGGGACAGCCTACTCAGATCCCATTCTGTCCTTCTCTGGAACAGAAGCTTTCTTTCCCTCAATAAATACATTTTGCACTTTAAAAAAAAAAAAGACAGTTATATCTTCTTTAGTATGCTTTTTTATCTTTTGGTACTTACTGTTAAAGCTTCATTATTAAAGTATTAAAGGCAAGCACAAGCATTGCTTCTAGTGTGTAAGAATTTCCATTTTTAGATACCAGTACCCAACCATAGCTGGGTATGGTGGCCCTACCTGTCATCCCAGCACTCAGGAGGCTTGAGGCAGAAGGGTGGCAAGTTTGAGACCAGCTTGGCTTATATAGTGAGTTCAAGGCCAGCTTGCACTAAAAGCTGTCTCATGTCTCAAAAAAAAAAGTCAAAACCCAGAAAAACACCAATCTCAAGATGTACAAAATATTTTATTGCTCCTTTTATGTTCAGATTTAAATAATATTTGTCCCGATTTCAAACAAAGAAGAAATCTCCCTAAATTAAATTAGCATTTAGAATTTGAAGTATAATTGGTACAGTGACTTTTTAAAATTATGGCTCTGGGCTAGGGAGATAGCTTTGCAGTCTAAGCACCTGCCTGGCAAGCACAAAGACCTGGGTTCAGTCCCTGGTACTGCATGCTGTGCCATTCCCCCATACTCCAGGCGCTTCATGCTGGTCACCAAAACCAAGTGTGGTGGTGCACACCTGTAATCCCAGTGTGGGGAAGGCTGAGACAGGAGGATCACTATGAGTCTGAGCTGTACATCAAGACCCTGTTCCAAGTAAATAAAAGACTAAAAGAAGTACAATTAGAGCTCTTTAAGGTATAAACACTCTAGTTTATAAATTTTATGGTGATGACAGAGGTGGTCGCCTTACATTGAGGATATTCAGCTCTGGGCTCTCCAGAAATAAGTATTCAGCATACAGTTGTGGAGTGGAGCTGGAAGATTATCTCCATGCTGGCCTTCTTATTCGTGTGTGAGTTCTTAGTACTTTGTGACTTGAGTATATATTCCATGCACCAGACAGTCCAAGGTGGTGCTGTTTTATGAGGTGGTTCACATTTTTTAATGTCTTCATCAACACCAAAAGATTACTAAAGGCATGTAGCTTTCTCTAGACTGTAAAAGCTGCAGGATATTTGAGTAATATTTCTGAGAATTTTGAGGAAACTTTTGAGAGAGGATTTGATTTAAACATCGTCTTCCTTGGTGAGCTATAAATTCTATTTGCCTGTGGTGTCTGGCACTTTAAAAATTCTTTTCCTGCTTTTTTTTTTTAAAATTGCACTGGTTTAGGGATGTAGCTAGTGGTAGAGCACTTGTCCAGCTCAGGCGAGGCCCTGGCCCAGGCTGCAACCCACACCATAATACAAAGAACTCCTTAGTGCTGGTAATGCTAGGAAGAAGCTCTTGTACCTTTAGTTGGGTGTGGTTTTTTCTTTTTTCTTTCTGTCCCCAGGATTGGACCTACCTGCTCCAGACTGATCTGCATCCTCAGCCAATCGTGTTTATCATGAGACACGTTCTTGCTAAGTCACTAAGCTGCTTAGGCGGGGCTCAAACTTGCAGTCCTTCTGTTTCAGCCTCCCTGAATGCAGAGATTATAGGTGTGCACCAGAATTTGCTTGGCCTTTTAAAAAATAAATTTAGTTATAACTAAATTAAAAAATAAATTTAGTTATAACATTTATTATATGTATTGGTTATGCAGCTCCAACAAGTCTCAGTGCATCGTTGGCTCTGCCCTATTTGTATCTTCTTATTTTATTTTTCCACATTATTAATATTATTAGTTTGGTACTGGGAATGGAACTCAGGGCTTCATGCTTGTCAGGCAGGTGCTTGCTATGCTGCTGAGCTCTATTCCTGGCCCTCCACCATATTTTTTTTCACCATATTATTATTATTATTATTTTTTTATTTATTAACATTTATTTTGGGGTGTGTGTGAGTGTGGCCAGCTCAGCCCACCAGGGGGCGCAGCTGGCTGGCATGTGGTGCTGGGGGAATCGAACCGTGGTCTCTGTGCTTTATCAAGCTTGTTCCAAGTAGGTGCCTTAGACCACTGAGCCATCTCTCCAGCCCACCATATTATTTTTGAATCAAATCTTAGATGTACTGTTAAAAACTCATCAGTGCTGGGCATAGTGGTGCATGCCTGACTGGGGAGGCTGAGGCAGGAAGATCGCCACAAGTTTGAGGCCAACCTGCACTACATTTCAAGAACCTGTCTCAAAAAAAAAAAAAAAAAAAAGCCTAGTAAGAAAAGCTCATCAGTAAATGTTTCAGTTTATATATATTAAATTAGGATTTTAAAATATATGTAACTAAAAGCAAAGATAGTCATGAGGTAATTTTTTTTTGTACAATTATAAGAAGTCATTGAAATATATATATGTGCCAATATATATGCCAGCTGTGGTGTTGCACACCTGAAGCAGGAGGATACAGGTCCAGCCTGGACAGTTCAGCAACTTAGTGGAGACCCTGTCTCAAAATAGGCTAAATATATAGTTTAGTGTGAAGATCTTGGGTTCAATCCGTAGTACCACCAAAAAAACAAGGGCCGAGTGTAATGGTGCACACCTGAATTCCAGCACTGCCAGTACTCAGGGATCTAAAGCAGGAGATCACTCTGAGTTTGAGGCCAGCCTAGGCTACATAGTAATTTCAAGACCAACCTGAACTACATAGCGAGACCCTGTCTCAAAAAATTATATATATAAGGGGATGTAGCACAGTGCAAAGGCACGACCCTGGGTTCAATCCCCCGCACTGCAAAAAATAAAAATAACACCTTTCCT